GACCTACAGTAGTCTACTATCTTATACAGTTTGTGTGCTGCCTTTAGCCCTACAACAGCTGGGATAGACTCAGTTATGTTTGTGTATTTTGGAGGTACTTCTCCTCTTTGTTGCGAGTTGGGGTCATTATTCCCCCCCAAAAAACCCAAAACAAAACACATCTATCACCACCAACTGAGGCAGACACATAGGTAGCCCAAAATGGCAAATGTAGTTCCCAGCCCTCAGGAAGCCACCAAACGTCCACAGTCATAGAAACTCCCCCACAGCTACCTGCAAGTCAAACAAGGAGACAAGACAGCAGCTGGCCACCATCAGTGACCATCTAGTTCACTGATGGTGGTCAGCTGATCCGGTTAATGACCAGAGAGAAGCAAAGTCATCCAGTTGTTATTATGCGAAGGCGGATGTTCTTCTTAAACAAACATGATCTAGAAGTAAGTAAATGACTCTGAAATTCCTCAAACTGTTACTGGAGGCCAAGGTAATGCCATTCAGGCTAAGTATCTGGTTAGATACCATATTTCTAACAGTTTTAGGGTTGAGTACAATTGCCTCACTTTGTCTTTCTGATAATTTATTGGATTGTTCCAAATGGGTTTCAGTTTACATCTGAGAGGTTTTTATGTTCAGGCTTCGAAAGCAGTTATGATAATTACTACTTCAGCTTTTGAAAGGCAAATTACAGATTTTTACTTTTCTGAAGTTCTAGATCCAGCTATGGGCTGTCTGATAAGTTCAGTACAGTCTGAAAAAACACAACACAATCTATTGGATAAGCAGTAGTAGTAAAAGAATTTGGTAGTTGTAGATCATTATTGTGTTTCGGTTTTTGTAGAATGGTTTTAGATGCGTCATCGAACCAACACAGCTGATTTAAACGGATAAATTAGCTCCTCAATATGTCTTGAAGTTCTCCAGAGGCCTGGTAATGAACTAATCATGTGATTCAGGTGTGTTGACCCAAGGTGAGATCTAAAACCTGCAGGGACACCGGCCCTCGTGGACTGGGATTGCCCACCCCTGGTCTACACTCTAATACATCTTTGGTCAGGATGAATTTTTTTTTTTTTTAACCAGTCCCATGGCAAGGGTTTAGCAGAGTATTTTAAGGCCTATTTTTTGTGAGTGGAATCGGGCAGTAGCTGGATCTGAGTAGATATTTGTGTAGGTCAAAATTCTTCATAAAACTGCTGGAAAACCATCTGGACCTGGGGTTTTAAAGAAGGTGTAAAGATGGTGTAAACCCTGAGAGTGGGGTGCTGTGAATGGCAAGCATCACAAAGACGGAAATCATTCATGTACTGTTAAACGAATATCTTTACACTGCCAGATCCTTTCACTCACTGCTATACTGTCATTTTCTGGATTAAATAGCAGATTTAAGTCTTCTCTTATTACAAGTGTGGTGTTACTTCAAAGAACAGAATGTATGAAAAAAGGATGGTCATCAGCATTTGGTCCATGTATACTAGCAATACTCAGATCCAAATTTTGAATACATGAATATAAATTTACCATCTGGATCTGTAATAGTGTTGCCAACAGTGAAGATTATTTTTGCTAATTATGTCTCTTTGTTTTGAATAGTAACAGAACACTGTGGAGAAATGAGTGTGTGCATTTGTGTTGCTGGGGTTGTTGTTTGTACTCTTAGTTTAGTTTTCTGCCTTCTTCATGTGTCCTTCTACGCCATCTTCTGTGTTAAGTATTTCCGTTATACTTTTTTCTGTTTTATTTTGGTAACCTTTGTCTGTGTTTATTGTTCAGTTGTACTTTTCCAGTCTTGTTCCCTGACTAGTTCCAGTTGTGTTCCCTGGTGTTTCCTATCTGTCTAATTACTTGTGTATGTTTATAACCTCACCTCTTTTCTTGGCCTTTGTCATCTCCGTCCTCTGTGCTCTACATCCGCTTTTCCTGTTGATCATCACATTTTTATATTTTGGTTTCCCTGCTTTGCAAACATTTAAACTTTCTGTATTCCTTTGGCTTACTGCATTAAGCCTCCTGTTCTGTGTTTGAGTATTAGACATATAGCATTTTCTAGTTAGGTTAGGTGTAGTAGAAAGGGGCTGAGAAGAGTATCTAGCTGTGGTTTGTTGATCTGGTGTGATGGGGCCAAAGTAGTATCAGGTCATACATGCGTATTGAAAGGAAGACAATCACAGAATTAAAGGTGAGTGAGAGAAGCTCTGAGAGAGGTCACAGGGTGATGGCAGAAAACGATGCTCACAGTTCTGTTATAGAGACAAACAGTTAAAGTAAAATGAGGCTAAATTTCACTTTAATTGTCCTATTAGAGGGGTCATGACCTCAGGGCTTCCTACGGGCTGATTCAAAGACAGGAAGACTGAAAAAATGTGAACTATAGATCATGTAGATGTTGGGTTTTCTCTGCTTTCTTTGTATTATTGTTGGGTCTTTACCTTGCAGTATGACGCACCTTGAGGCCAATGTTGTTGTGATATAATGCATTATAAGTAAAGTTAAATAGAATTGATATAAAACTACATTGATCTAGTTTCTGTGGCCAAATTAACTTAAAATAATCACATTGGTTGAGTGACTGAGCATTGAATTGAAAGATTTCAGTCCCCTGTTCCTTTCTCCTCTGATCTTTCTTTCAGCTTTTTTCTACAACCATGAAA